TAGTTATTTGGCTTATATCGTGATATATATCGTTATCGCCTGAAATGAAAAAAACATATCGTGATATGAAAAAATCTTATATCGCCCAGCTCTAATATGAAGCCATAATAATACATCTTTTCCCCTGCAATCATCCCACACAGTTCTGAAGTTCATTTTTAGTCATGTTTTAGTTTAGAGGCGGCACAAGTTTTTGGCAAGATCGGCTCCATTCAAGTCTGCAGCTTCATCAACCTGACCGCCATCAGGTTACAAGAAGAAATACAATTTTGTTCCTTAAAGTTTACACATATTTGACATTCAGCCATCTTTTTGATTTTTTTGTATTAAGTCTAAAACCTTAGTTGTTTTTTTCAGCACCTCCCCTGGTGTCGTTCTTTTGCTTCTCCTTCCAGATGCAAACTTGGAATCGTGACTCTTTCCCTTAAACCGCAGACATCCGTTTGCCGACTGCAGTGTGGCCTTTCTCCTGTTTAATCATTTCCCAGTCTGACGGAGTAGGTGGTAGTTTTCATCACCCCATCTGTGGCTCATGTCAGGGAGGAAGCGAATGTTCGGATGAGTGCAGGATAACAGATAGCGAGCCAGTGAACGGAGGCGTTTTCTTTTGCACAAAGCGTCCCTGAGAGCGATTACATGGCAACCGTGGAAAATGTCCAAGGACAGCTTGGAAGAGAGGATCTTTGGCTGCGTGCCCTCTCTGTTTTCTCTCTCGTTTGTCCCTCTGGTCTTTTTTGATTTCCCTCTGTGAGTCTGTCTGTCTGTCCCTTTCGCCCTCCACTCTTCATGTTTCATTCTTTTCGATTCCCTCCCTTCTGTCTCCTTTTCCTCATCCTCGTCCATCCAACCCTCCTTAAGTTGTTCTGAACAAAATAGATCAGGACGTTCCAGCTTGGCACAAACTTTTACATGGATGAAGGAAAGAAGAAATGATTAGTTTTTCTACGTCTAGGACCAATGCCACTGTGACCTGAAAACAGCTTGTTTTGCCCATAACTTAAGAATTTTAGTTTTTCTTTTTGGCTTTTCCCAAACACGTCAAATCGTCTGAGAGTGAATTTCTTTATCTGTCAGATTTCTCTGAAGAAGATTTGTAACTTTTTCCTCACGTAGTGTCATCATTACTAAATAAAATAATGGAGAAATGTACCGAAAGTGCTCATTTAAAAGCTGTGATGACTTTTCCGTCAGCCTGAGCTTTACTTTGATGCTGCTTATCAGTAATGTGTTAGACGAGCAGTCAATATGTGGGTCATTGCGAGCAAGAAATGAGCTTTTACACAGTGTTTAGTGTAATGATGTCGCCTGTTAACAGACTGAATTTGACTTAATGCCACTAAGTGCTGGAATTAATTTGTTTTCAGTGTTACTCAGAAGTGGAATAGCTTTAAAGGGAAATAACTGTCTAATTAAAAAGGTTGTGTTTTCTCCCTTCAGACCTACACTCACTATGACGCAGAGGAACCTGACCGGCGGCTGTAATGTGAACTGCGGCTGTAAAATCCACGAGTACGCTCCGGTCTGCGGCTCTGATGGCATCACATATTTTAACCCCTGCCTAGCTGGCTGTGGCAGCGTGGCCAACGACAGCACCGGGGTAAGAGGCCTCGATACCTGTGTCTTATTTTAAAAAATGTCGACACTAAAACAGCTTAAATTCAGTCTAAGATGTATTTTAAATGTTTTGTTTCACTATTTTCTGCCCACGGCACGTTGTTTACTCAGCTTGACTGTTGCTATTTTCAGCTCACGCAGCTCCGTCCTCTCATCCACAGGCACCCCCCTGAGCCTGGTTCCTCCTGGAGAATACTTCCTGTTAAAAGGGAGTTTTTCCTTCCCACTGTCACCAAGTGCTCGCTCATGTTAACTGGGATTTTTTTTCTGTATTATTTTAGCAATTTACCTTAAAATATAAAGCGTCTTGTTGTGATTTAGCGTTACATAAATAAAACTGAATTAAATTAAAGGATCAATAAGCTCATAGAGGAATTGCTACTGCACCTCCAGCATTGGTCCACATTTAATCAAACTAGCACAAACTAAAGGTCACGTATGTCATTTTTACTGGCAACAACCTTTGAACTGTAATGGATCATGAGTTTGGTGATGTTCTCAAACAGTCATGATGTTTGCTGG